TTTTTTTTTATTTTTCAAAGTATTTTTAATGAAAAGTCAGACAACACAAATAAACTGCCCCCATAACTAGAAGCAAACTTAAAAGGGCAGTTTTTTCTAATAGAAAAATCATATTTTGACAGGTGCCCACTAATTTTTTGTCAGATATGAGTCGAGCCGAGTCGAGTCGAGTCGAGTCGAGTTGGTAATACTCGAACCATTATCACCACTTCTTGTTAGTTAATCAAAATTAACTAGCCAAGTTCAATCTATAAACTCTTGTTTCTCGAGTTTTAACGAGCCGAGCCGCCTACGAGGACTGGTCGGTTCGTTTAACAACTCTTACGACAACCAAAGGAATCGAATTTTTTATAACTTTCGGCAGCCAACCATAGTATCAAATTCTTGGTTGGTTTTTTTAGTTCATCTCATAGTTTCATCTAGTGCCAAAACCGAACTTATGCTATTCTCTCTTCCTTTCAATAAAGAAGGAAAATTAATCCGAAATTTTACTTTATTTTTTTTTTATCTTTCTTCTTTTAATGATTCTTGTGTGAGTCATCACTTGAAAAAGCGATAGACATGTTGCAAGTACTAGAATTTACTCCTACTAGAGAACTTTCAAACGATCATTATTATCATCTTATTTATTTATTTATTTATTTATTTATTTATTGGTCTAAAGCTATATATTCCAATCTTCTTATAACAATCATGAAACTGTGCCATTATCACCCCAGTATATTTTTCAATTTATTTTTAAAATATAATAAAAATAATTTTTAATTCCTACATTCAAAATACAAAATAATTATAAAAATAAAAATAATAATATTAAATTAATATAATAAATTAATATAATAGTCTCAATATTATTGGAAGATGCTTTGGCCTCATTACAGAACCGTTCCGTCAGAGTTTGTAGCCGTTAGATCAACTATCTCTGAAGATTACATGTTGATCTAACGGTTACAAACACGACAGGATGATTCCGACCTCCGCATTTCTGAATTCCTTTGTATTTAATTGCATTAATTAAAACATTGGGTTTCGTGTAATTGTAATTTCCCAAAAAAAAATAGTGTTTTTTTTAATATTAAAAATATTAGCATTAATTTGTTTGTTCAAAAGGATAAGGAGGTCGTTCATATTATATCCAATTGACTCTTAAAGACTCATCAGTCTCACCTTAGACAAGAGTCACACACTGCAATATAATACTAGTGAGAGGCTGACGTTTTCATCTGTAGTTTTCTTTTCTCTATGCATTTAATAAAGCATTCCAAGGCTAATGTGACTCACCAAAATCTTAACAGAAACAGATAACAAAAAATATAAAAGAAACATATATATATACAAACATAATATAAAGGACGAAATTTGACTGCAAATAATTGTCTAACCAAATCAAGAATCCTATTATTAGTATTATTATAGAAATAGGACCATCTTATTAAAGCTAGCTACACCTAAATTTAGTCCAATTCACCCACGCAAGTTAGGCAGAGTATAATAATCTTTATAACCATATATTATATCTATTAAAACTTGAATAATCATGTAAATATTACTATGAAATTAAATCAAGATTTAAAAAAAAATGTATAAATATACTTTTTTTTTTTTATATCACATGGTAACTAAATCAAGAAATTATTGCAATTTGGAGCAATTATAGCTAAATATACTAAAATTACAATCAATCTAATTACTTCTCAAATATTATTCCATCTTATCCATGAAGATTATATGATGGTTAATAATAATAGTTAAATACACTCACAGTCTCTCGTAGATCTATCCACAAGTAGGGTCAAATTTGTCCATAAACATCGTAATCAAATTAATTAAATCACATAGTTAATTTTCGCCAAAAAAAAAAA